CATCAGAACGTAACCAAGGCCTTTGGAATCTCTCATCTCCGGCTCCCACGCTTTCGCCACCTTGCGGATTGTTGCCACTTCTAACGCTGCTACCGGCGAATTTTCCTGTTAATGAGAGGTGTGAGCGACAGTGCGCAATTGTAGTGAAGCGGCTCGGGGGCGTTGGCGAAGCTATGGCCGGCAGCATGTGTGACTTTGCAACGGGTGGTGGTGGTGACAGAGTGGAGCTCCTAGCAAGGGATGGAGCTGCCATGGTATGAGTGAGACATATCATGAAGTGTCAGTGCTCCTCCCCTTACAGGTCAACCAGCTTATACGTACCCCGCGTTGCTCGCAATCCTCTAGTGCCTTGTTCTGCTCGTCGGATCCTTTAAGCCTTTTAACTCCCCACCGCATCCCCTTCCCGCACAGGGCACTCACACCCTTGTGGGTTTGGACGCACCATCCTCTCTTACCTTCTCTCCCCTCCCTTCCCCCCCACCCCCTCCTCCCCCCTCACCCTTCCCATTTCCCTCTCCACATATTCCTGGCATCCACCACTCTCGCTCTCATTCTCTGGTCAAACTTGTGTTTTGTCCAACTCCGCCTTCTCTTCCCCACCGCCCTCCTCCTTCCTTCTGGCTTCTTTCTCCTACAGGTCATCCACCTGCACCACCCTCGCTCTCCCCCTCTGGTGATTGGGCCAATCTTGAGTTTATCCAACCTTGCTTTCTCCCCTCTCCCTCTCCCTCTCCCCCTTCCTCCCCCCCCGGCAGTTCCTCCACGCGTACCTAACGTGCACCACTCTTGCTGTCGTCTTCTGGTGCATGGGCATCTCCCTCCCTCGCCTCCTCGCATTCCCGCACCACTGGTTCCTGGTTGCCAAGGGAAGCCTTCAGAGGATCACGGCTATGAGCACTTCTTCTGTGGTGCGGTTTTTACATTAGTCCACAACCCCTTCCTTCTCGTGTGCCCTTGCTTGCTCCTGGGTTCTGGTCCCTGATGTGCTCCTCTGCTCTCTCGTCCTGCATCCAGATCACAACGCTGTTGCTCGAATTTCATCCCCAATTCTCCGGAATGTGCACTATCACCGCTGTCTTGTGCAGGTAAACTTTTGCCATCAGCTCACATCTGCAGGCCATCTCACCGTTTCATTTTGTGATGCGACGAGGATGCATGCCACGACTACGCTCGCCAGGTGTGCCAAGCCCACAGACCCAGCTCTACATTCTCAGCCGTTGCTTTCAGCGAAATGTGTCCCGCGTGTGGAGAACTTGTGTGATTGCTGCTTTATCTCTTTTGACTTTGCCACGCTGCTATGTCCGAGCATTGGCTGGATGCCAGGAAAGCAGTCTGCAGCATTGCCAGAGCACCCCAAGAGCTGTGTGAGTTGCGGCAGCAGCGGGATGCGTTGAGGAGCAAGATGCGCTCGTTGCATGTGCGGGTGCGGCAGCTGGGGCAAGAGGAGGAGGGAGTGGGAGCGATGAGGAGGGAGGTGCTGGCGGCCAAGGAGGAGAGGACGAAAGAGATGAGGGGACTAGTCGGGAAGATGGAAGAAATGAGCCTGCAGTGGAGGGAGGAGTTGCATGCACACATGAGCAGGTTGATAGGGAAACTGGAAGCTACAAGGAGGGAGGTGCTGGTGGCCAAGAAGGAGAGGGATTGTGAGATGAGGGGGCTACTGAGAAATATGGAAGAGATGAGTTTGCAGTGGAGGGAGGAGTTGGATACTCAAATGAGCAGATTGACTGTGAAGCTAGAAGCAACAAAGAGGGGCGTGGAGGAGGCAAAGGAGGAGAGGGAATGTGAAATGAGGGTGCTGGTAGGGAAGGTGGTAGAGGGGGGGCAGCAGTGGAGACAGGGATTGGATCATGAGGTGGGAAAGGTGGTAGGGAGGGTGGACGAGGTGAAGCAAGAGATGGGGCAGCAGGCAAACGTGTTTAATTTCAAGGTTAGCGTTTGGAAAGAAGTTATGGAAGCTACACGGAAGGAGGTGCAGATGGTGAAGGAGGAGGTGGCAGATGAGATGCGAGGGCTGATGGGGAAGATGAAAGTGGTAAAGCGGGCGATGAGGCAGCAGCGGAGGCAGGAGTTGGACTGTGAAGTGAGTAGATGGGGAGAGATACAGGCAGCGACCAAGGAGGAAATGCCAGAGAAAGCTCGGAGAGAGAAGGAGAGGGGGAAGGCAGAGAAGGCACGGAAGGAGAGGGAGAAGGCGGAGAAAGCACGGGAGAAGGAGAAGGCACGGGAGAAGGAGAAGGCACGGGAGAAGGAGAAGGCACGGGAGAAGGTGAAGGCACGGGAGAAGGTGAAGGCACGGGAGAAGGAGAAGGCACGGGAGAAGGAGAAGGCACGGGAGAAGGAGAAGGCACGGGAGAAGGTGAAGGCACGGGAGAAGGTGAAGGCACGGGAGAAGGAGAAGGCACGGGAGAAGGAGAAGGCACGGGAGAAGGTGAAGGCACGGGAGAAGGTGAAGGCACGGGAGAAGGAGAAGGCACGGGAGAAGGAGAAGGCACGGGAGAAGGAGAAGGCACGGGAGAAGGTGAAGGCACGGGAGAAGGTGAAGGCACGGGAGAAGGTGAAGGCACGGGAGAAGGAGAAGGCACGGGAGAAGGAGAAGGCAGAGAAAGTAGGAAGGAGGGAGTTGGCGGAGCAAGTACGGAGGAAGAAGGAGAAGGCGGAGGCAGCATGGAAGGAGACGGAGAAGGAGAGCAATCCTGCAAGGGTGTGGAATGGAAAGCTTGTGAAGCTGCTTCGGGCGCAATATGGGGGGGTGAAGAAGGTGGGCATCAATAAGGAGGCCTTCTTAAGGCATGTAAGTTGCATTTAGGCACGCTGTTCAGGAGGCATTTAGAGCTTCCAATTTCTTAAAACAGGTGGAGTATGGGGGGGTTGTTGAGGTGGGTATTCAGATGGGGGAGGGGGTGGCATGAGGGCATGATGGAAAAGGGGCATGGAGAAAGGTCGCAGATGTGCCCCGGGGTAGCAAAATCCCGGGTAGGTGCAGAGGTGAACCCGTAATTCCTCTATCCGTGAACCTGTGGGAGAAATTAATAGGATAAAGATAAATCACCCCGTTTCCACATGCGTCTTCCCTTCGTTCCTACCTCTCTTCATCCGCTGTTGTCTTTTGTTATCCCCACCTCCTTCTCACCCTCCATACCGCCGCCCTCTGCCACCTGCAAAATATGGCCAATCACCGGCACACTCTCAGGCACACTCTCAGGCACACACTCAGGCACACTTTTAGGCACACTCTCAGGCCCATTTAAAAGAGCAAGCACGCAGGGACAATTGAGTCAACTCGAAAATCACCCCACCACCTCCTCACCCTCAGGCGCACTTCAGGGGTGCTTCCAGGACCATGTGGAGCAAGCACGCAAGGAGTGGGAGAGGGCGGAGCCATGGCCGGCTCATCCGCAGCTGAGAATGAACCAGCTGTTGGGTTATGGTCTGTTTGACTGGAAATGCCTTTCAGAGCTGCCGGAAGAGGTGTGGGAGGGTGGGTGTGGGCGTGGGTGGGTGGGTGTGTGTGTGTGTGTGTGTGTGTGTGTGTGTGTATGTGCGTGCGTGTGTGCGTGTGTGTGTGTGTGTGGGTGAGTGAGTGTGTGTGTGTGTGTTTGTGTGTGTGACGTGTGAACGACGGAGAATAGTGGGAAAATGGCGGGTGGGGAGGGAGGGAGGTAGTTTGAGAAGAGTGATGAGACAAGTGACTTGCCTCCTTTGTCTTGCTTGTGGAAGCACGATGAGCGCAATGCAAATCAAGAGGACCCACTCCTGCTGCTGCTTATCCTACATCTTACAACTTACAGTCCGATGCCCGTTGCATCGTGTGTGTGTGTGTGTGTGTGTGTGTGTGTGTGTGTGTGTGTGTGTGTGTGTGTGTGTGTGTGTGTTTGTGTGTGTGTGTGTGTGTGTGTGTGTTTGTTTGTTTCTCTTACTCATGCTTGCATGCGCCACTCATATTGCCCGATTTTATTCTCAGGAGGACTCTGACTATGAGCAGATGGCAGAGGAATGGGAGGAAGGATTTGAGCAGGCGCAGAGAAAGAGGGAAGGGAAGGTAGCCAAGGCACGGGAGAGAAAGCGGCTGGAGTATCGGCAGACGGATTGGAAGCGGAGAAAGGAGAGAGATGGCTGTTCTGAGGAGGGAGATGCTGTACAGAGTGGAGGTTATGAGGGGGGAGGACGTGGAGAAAGTGGAGGAGAGAAAGGCGGACAGAGGCAAGGAGGAGGAGGAAGAGGAGGAGGAGGAGGAAGGGGAGGAGGAAGAGGAGGAGGAGGAGGAGGAGGAGGAGGAGGAGGAGGAGGAGGAGGAGGAGGAGGAGGAGGAGGAGGAGGAGGAGGAGGAGGAGGAGGAGGAGGAGGAGGAGGATGAGGAGGAGGAGGAGGATGAGGAGGAGGAGGAGGAGGAGGAGGAGGAGGAGGAGGAGGAGGAGGAGGAGGAGGAGGAGGAGGAGGAGGAGGAGGAGGAGGAGGAGGAGGGGAGGGAACGACAGAAAGCAGGAGTAAGAGAGAACGGAAGAGGAAAAAGGAGGAGGAGAAATGCATGCAAGGAAGTAACGGGCGAAGAATGGGTGGCAAGAGAAGGTGGAGAGAGAGGAAAAAGAGGTGGGGGGAGGCGAGTAAGAGGAGGACGAGGGCGAAGGCACAACGAGTTGTGTACCATACTCTGAGGCTTCTGCTAATGGTCCATCGAATCCCAAGCGGTGGCACTTTTCAACGCACCTTGCCGCTTCCTTCCAGCTGCTGAGGCAAACGTGTTTAGGCGGTGGGAAGGATAGATGTGAGCAGGGAAGGTGTACATAAATTCGATGGAGGCATGGGCGCGTGTTGTGAGTCAGCTTGGAAGAAGGAAAAGTACCCGCACAGTGCAGAATGGGGGTTGCCTAGTTCATGACAATATTTGACAGGTGGCATTCGTGAAGACATCATGTTTTGGCGCCTGTGTTGGAATGGACGAGTGCTATTTCTGTGAGTCAACCTGTGAAATCAGACTTCAACTTCGAAATCTGGAAACACTGATGTCTTGCTGTACTTCGGCTTGCACTGCGAGATGGATGAAACGGAATTCGTACTGAAGACAATTCCCTGAGACATCAACCTCACACAATTCCCAAATTAATTGCTGGAAACGGTGCCTGTGTTTCTTGGCTATAATTGAAAACCAAGCAACCTGAGCTCCCGAATGGCCTGCATAAACAGAGTAAGAGAATATAAGAAGCGACAATTGAGACCAGATGTACCAGACTTACGCTTAGTGACAATAACGTTTAGAGAAGCCCTAAAATGTGTCGAAGCAAGAGTCATACGCTAATGCGAGGCTTACGCTCATAGCCAGCAAAAAAGCACACACTGACGTGGTTTAGGGGGGTGGGGGTAGGCGTTCAACAAGCATAGTAAGACTCTTAAAGCTAATGTGATTAAATGCCCTCAACTCACTTGTTCAAGGCATAACAACATGTTCACCTGGCTATATAAGATGGCTCACACGACTGACCCAAGAAACATGCATGGACGTTGCTGACACTGCTTCTTGAATGAATACTAGTGCTGCTGACTGAAAAGACTCTCATGATTACTGAATGTGCTGTGAGGTGCTGAAAAGACTCACATGGTTAATGGGAATGGCGAAGGCTACCCCTTCAGCATCCGACCGAATGGCTGTTGTGATGCCAATCACCTGCATGCACCAATGAGAATGAGCCACGTCATCAATGCTCTCAGTGAGACCTTGTGCAAGAAAGCGGGAGTGAAGGAACGAGATCCACTAACGTGTCAGGGACCCAAACCATGAAACCAAACAGGAGGAGCGGCTGGCATTGAAAGTTACCCAGTAGCACTGTCATTCACCCGTAAGTGTTCACCCCAACCTCGTTTACCTCTCCGAATTCGTTCACAAGAGGACTCCCAGAGCTGCCAGGGTTGATGGCACAGTCGGTCTGGAAGAAATGGAGGGTGGAGTGCGGCACTCCCACCTGCGAGGAAGGCAAGGGGGAGAGAGTGGGAGAGGGACGGAGAGGGGGAGGATAAAGCAGAGCTGCCAGGGTTGACGGCACATTCGGTCTGGAAGAAATGGAGAGATCGGGTGGAAGAGGAAAAGCAGTGCCAGAGGCACTCCCGGGATGAGGGGAGGGAGAGAGAAGGGAAGCGCGAGGGAGGGGAGGTGCCAAGGTAGATGGGCAGAGTATGTGGCTGGAAGAAACGGAGAGTGAAACGGAGCGTGAAACGGAGCGCGAAACGGAGCGTGAAACGGAGCGTGAAACGGAGCGTGAAACGGAGCGCGAAACGGGGCACTCGCACCTGCGAGGAGAAGAGGCGGAGAGAGAGACGGACAGCTGCTGGGGTTGACGGGCACAGTGAGCGGCGGTGTAGAGCAGGCGGCGATGCCTGACTGGTGCTGCCCCTTGTAACACCATGGTAACATAACATCCCACCACTCTATGCTCACCTGAGCCGCAGTGCGGTGCATGCTGCTGATGATGCTGAGGCTGACATGCCGCATGCCCCCACTCTCCCTATGCCCCCCCACCCCCCCCGCCCCCCTCTTCCCCCCCCCCACACCATGTTCACCTGAGCGGCAGTGCAGTGCAGGCTGCTGATGATGCCGCCGCTGATGCTACTCCCAAGGCACCACATCCAATCATCCTCTTGTAAGCTGTAGCCCCATGTCGAGCTGCTTTCCCTCCCCCCATCCCCCAACCCCCCCTCCCTCCCTATGCTCACCTGAGCGACAGGGCAGTGCAGGCTGCTGACAATGCCCAGGCTGAGGCAGCCCCACGGGATTGCTGCTTAGAGTGCTCACGCGCACTGCAGATTGCTCTAGATTTCTTTAGAGTGGTTAAGAGTGTTCTAGAGAGCTCCAGAGAGACCTCCACCTAACTCACCTGAGCGGCAGTGCGGTGAGTTATGCAGCCCCACGGCTGCTGATGATGCCGAGGCTGATCCTGTCAGGCAGCCCTACGGCACTGTCCCTGCGGGCAAGCCTCGTTGCTAGTAGTTCCCACGTGAATTGAGTATGCCCCCACAGCACACCTTGCGGCACTCACCTGAGCGCCAGTGCGGTGCAGGCTGCTGACAATGCCGAGACTGATGCTGCCAGGCAACCCCACAGGATTGCCCACCGAGATCACCCAATCAGCGAGCTCCACGTCATCACTGTCACCAATGGGCGCACAGGGGAGCCAATCATCTTCCCGGGTGTCCCCACCTTCCTCTTCTACCTCTCCTTCCCCTTCCCCTTTCCTCTCACTTCTACTCTCTTGCTCCTCTCCCTTCTCCTCTCGCCTCCTCTGTCCACCTCTCTCTCCTCATCTCCTCCAACCACCTCTGATCCACCTCCTGCTCTCATTTGCCCGACTACCATCTCTTCTTCCTCCCTCACTCCCATGTTGCCCGCACCAGAACTCCAACCATCACCGCAATCATTGCTAGTACTACGATGATCCACTGCATCCTCGTACTCAACTGACATGCTTCTGACCCCTGTTCCAACTGCTCTTGATTCCTCTCGTCTACAAAACTTCCCCGGAGATCATAGCTTGAACTCTCCCTTGAGTGCCGGTTACCAGTCTGATTTCCATCGACATTCCTGCTAAAGCTGGCTCACTAAACCCTTGCAAGCTGGAAGGTGGGGCGGCACTTGGTTTCTTGGCGGGCAGTCTGTGAGTCACCTGCAGAGCCGTGCGTGGAACGGGCAGACAAAACATTTTTAATGGAGCAGCAGGACCAGCTGGGAAAAAAACAAAACAAAAAAAGACACCGAAAAGAACTTGACGCGGTTTCAGGTTGTGGAGGTCTTGTGAGAACCGGCCATACATATCAGAAAGAAAGCAGAGGCCTCGAATCTTGTGATTAATCACCTTAAATATCAGAAGCTGCAAGCAAATAAATCACCTTCGAATGAATTCAGATATTTTACCTTGAGGACTGCCAGGTCAGCAGAAGGATTGAGGACCAACAACTCCGTGGCGAAGCGCCGGCAGTCAGGAAGAAGAAGCTAAAGAGGGGAGTGGCAGGGGGGTGAGGAAGGGCAGGGCAGGGAGGGAGGAAGGGCGAAAGGAGGGGTGGTGAAAGGAGAGATGGCAAGTGGGCGATGGCATACTCATAACTCATAACTGAGTGGGGCGGTGATGACCACTGGGAAAAAGAAGCTGGATGGAGGGGAGACGTGGGATGGGAGAAGGGGAGAAATGGGAGATAGTGAAGGAAGGGGCGGAGGAGCAGGAAAACATCTGGGTGAGTGAGACGCATAAGGAGAGAGAGTGATGACCTGAGCTGCAGGAAGAGAGAACCCTTTGATGCGGCTTTCCCAAATGTGTACACGATCGTGAACAGCTTAACAGCATACAAGCGGGTGGCTCGCTGTCATTTCCTCCTAGTTTTGAGAAGCGGACGAGATAGGAGTCTAGTATTGAGAAGCGGACGAGATAGGAGTCTAGTTTTGATAAGCGGACGAGATAGGAGTCTAGTTTTGAGAAGCGGACGAGATAGGAGTCTAGTTTTGAGAAGCGGACGAGATAGGAGTCTAGTTTTGAGAAGCGGACGAGATAGGAGTCTAGTTTTGAGAAGCGGACGAGATAGGAGTCTAGTTTTGAGAAGCGAACAAGATAGGAGTCTACTTTTGAGAAGCGAACGAGATAGGAGTCTAGTTTTGAGAAGCGGACGAGATAGGAGTCTGTTATAATCACAATAGGCTTAGATGTGCCTATAATGAGAGATAGAGAGCACAGTCGGATTTCCGTCAGACGGCTTCAAATATTGATTTCGATCTGGTCACTGAATCAAACGGTGATATGTAAAATGGATCTAGAGCGCGTTGCTGTCGTCTATGAGCAGCAAGTTAAATCATGAAATTCCATGAAGATTTGACGACGCTATGGCGGTTTTACTGGCAGGAGGTATAGCAGCCACTATAGTCTTAGGAGTACAAACTTAGCAAGAAGAGTTCGAGAGGGAGATGGTTCCCAGCCTCTACATACCCCCAGAGCCGAGGTCCAGGTTGGTGGTACACCACCACAGAGTCCCCAACCATGAAGAGTCTCGAAACCAACCCTCCAAGGGGCTACACCAAGTGAAATGTAACACTACACGAAGTAGCGTTACTATTTTTCACTATTTAATATTTATCCGCGTCCCTTGGGCTTGAAATCTTGAGCTCTTGTTCTTGGATCTGCAAGATAAATTCTTCTTGAGTTGATGGAGGCTTGCTGCACACACCTGCGACACGATGGACACTTCACACTCGACAAAATAGAAAAAACACATGCGACACACAAACGACGACTTGACATGCGAGTTGTAGAAACTCGCTAATGTCTTGACCGACACAAACCACATTGTGATACACCATTCAAACACACACACAAGCACTGGATAGCAATGACATAGACTCACAATTCATTCCATGCCATGCATGCACACACACAAACAAGGACGACAAGCCGAGTGCAAGCCATAGGGTTGCACCAACAGAGTCTAGTTTTGAGAAGCGGACGAGATAGGAGTATAGTTTTGAGAAGCGGACGAGATAGGAGTCTCGTTTTGAGAAGCGGACGATATAGGAGTCTAGTTTTGATAAGCGGACGAGATTGGAGTCTAGTTTTGAGAAGTGGAAGAGATAGGAGTCTAGTTTTGAGGCGCCTCAAAACTAGACTTTGAGAAGCGGACAAGACGCACGGCCAACCCGCTTGTATGCTGCCATTATCTCCCTTATCGCCCTTGTGAGAGATGCCTGGGAATTAAAAACGAATGTCTCACAAGATCCACCCTCTCTTCCAAGACAGCATTGCATGCCTCCACTAACTCCTCCTCCTCCTTCTCCTTCTACTTCCACTGAGTGCCTCTTCATCCTACCGCATCCCATGCCGATTGGTACAATTTCTGCAATTTCACTCCCCTTACCGTCACTCTAGCTGCCCCGTCCACCACATGCGCGTTGGTGCGAACGTGCCATGCATAGTACACAACACAAGCAATAATCACAACCACTCTCCCTACCGTCACTCTAGCTGCCCCATCCACCACATGCGCGCTGGTGCGAACGTGCCATGCATATTAGACAACACAACCAATAATCACAACCACTCTCCGTACCGTCACTCTAGCTGTCCCGCCCACCACATGCGCGTTGGTGCGAACGTGCCATGCATATTAGACAACACAACCAATAGTCACAACCACTCTCCCTACCGTCACTCTAGCTGCCCCGCCCACCACATGCGCGTTGGTGCGAACGTGCCATGCATATTAGACAACACAACCAATAATCACAACCACTCTCCCTACCGTCACTCTAGCTGCCCCGTCCACCACATGCGCGTTGGTGCAAACGTGCCATGCATATAAGACAACACAACCAATAATCTCAACCACTCTCCCTACCCTCCCTCGGTAGCCCCTCCTCCCCTCCCACCTCGTCCTGCCCCGTCTGGTGTCTCTCATGTCACTCCCCTCCCGTCAGTTGTCCCTGTTGAGGAGTCTGCTGACTCTGGTGGTCCCCCCGGCCCGTCCTTGCCGCGTCCCCCATCCCCGGTGTCTCCGCCCCCACTGTCGCAGTCGCCGCCGCTGCCGCCGCCGTCACAGCCGCAGCCGCCACCGCTGCCGCCGCCGCCGCCGCCGCTGCCGCTCCTGGCCCCTGGGGGTGCTGGCGTTGAGGAGGGTGTTTGTCCTGCGGCTCCTGGCGTGGTCTGTCCCGGCGGGCCTGGGGGTGCCGCTGCTGCTGGAGGGGGTTCTCACTCTGGGGGTATTGGTTCTGGGGGTGCTGCCATTGAGGGTTCTCCTGGCGGTCGTCGTGCCCCTGCCAGTCTGAGGGTCGAGCACCAGCCGCCGCAGCAGCTGCCGCAGCCGTCGCCGCCGGTCTCCGCTCTTCGCCTGCTCGGCCTTCCCTCCCCTGACCGCTCGCCGGTGCCTCCCACACCACCTTCTCACCTTCCTGTCTACGGCCCTGTGTTCCCGCCCCCGGACTCTTCTCCAGCCCGTCTTCCTCCTCGTTCCCCTCTTGTGTCCCCTCCGCTGTCTCCTGACCCTACACCTCCGTCCCATGTTTGGTCTCGCCGTCCCTCGCGTGCTCGTCCCATCTCCCCTGTCCCTTGCTCCCATCCTATGTTACTCCGTTCTCACTCGTCTCGTCCCCCCCTCCTCCCCTAGCCTCCTCCCTCGTCGCTTGTTGTTGAACCTCCACCGCTGTCTGACTACCTCGGTGCCGCTCGTCCCCTCGTTCCTCGGGTCTTTGCTTCTCTTGTTACAGACCCGTCTGTTCCTGTCTCGCGCCGTGATGCGCTTGTCGCTGACTTCGCCTCTACCCGCCGCCTTGACTACGCTACCGCTTTGGTCTCTGACACTGCCCGTCCTGCGTCCGTCAGGGGTGCACCTGCCCTTAGCAGTGACGTACTAGAGGACAGACAGTACGAGCTTGCTTTCCTTTCCGAGGCCGCTCCCCATCTCTTCTCCATGCTCTTAGTCCCAGAGGGTGACCCAGACGCCTTCGACATCCCGACCCCTCGCACCTACGCTGAGGCCACCTCGAGACCCTGGGCCTCTCAGTGGATAGCTGCCATGGAGCAGGATATGGCATCTTCGAGGTCTACCGGCACTTACGTCGACGCAGTTCCCCCTCCTGGGGTGAACGTAGTCGATGGTCGGTGGCTCTTCAAGGTGAAGCGCCCCCTGGAGATCCGCCTGTCTTCAAGGCGCGCTATGTGGCTAGAGGCTTCAGCCAGCGCGAGGGGGTGGACTTCTTCCAAACCTTTGCCCCGACCCCGAAGAAGACTACTCTTCAGGCACTGCTACACATCGCAGCATAGCGCGACTACGAGCTTCACTCCCTCGACTTCTCTACTGCCTTTCTCCAGGGCAGCCTACACGAGCAGGTCTACCTGCGCCGACCACAGGGCTTCACTGGTACCTCCCCCCCTACAACCCTGTGGCTTCTCAGGCGCCCGGTCTACGACCTGCGCCAGGCCCCCCGCGAGTGGCGCGACACGCTGCGTGCCACGCTAGCAGACCTGCAGTTCTTTCCGTCCTCTGCTGACCCCTCACTTTTTGTGCGTTCCGGCCAGACTCTGTTCTACATCCTTGTCTACGTAGACGACCTGGTCTTTGCTACTGATGACAGAGACGCACTGGCCTCCGTGAAGGCTGAGCTGCTGAAGAGACACACCTGCACTGACCTTGGAGAGCTGCGTCGCTATCTTGGCCTGCAGATCTCCAGGGACAGAGCAGCACGCACCATCACTCTGACACATTCACACTTGGTGCGTCAGGTCCTTCAGAGGTTTGGTCTTCAGTTTTCCTCCGCACAGCCCACACCTCTACCTGTAGACCATGGGCTCTCCGCTCCCATTCCTGAGGAGCCAGTAGAGCCCAGCGGCCGCTACGCAGAGCTGGTGGGCTGCCTCATGTACCTGATGACTTGAGCTCGCCTAG